AACACCCCTAGCCGAACGCCACTGTCACCGTGCATCGTAACAGTACAGTTGTAATCAGATGTTAAAGAGGAATGTCTTAAAGTATGGCAAGATGGACGAAAGTACATGTGTAAAAAGGACGTTTCAAAATCGGATAAGTTTTAATCTTTATCATAGTTAAGTTAAGTTGAGCAAAAAGCCTCGAAAAATGCGTCCACAAATTGAACCGCAAATCCAAGTTTACAGTGCGCATTCTTAAAGTTTAATTACATAAATTCGAACATCTCTCAAAGACATCAGATATTTATTCTACATGAAAGAAGTATGGCTTTATCATTTAGAAATGATATTATTTCCCGTTCTTCTGAGTGAGGCGAAAACCGCAAATCCTCGCTTTGTTCGCTGACCTTATAGTGTAACTGAGCAGGAATGTTTTGATAGAAATCTTGCTAAATAGCATCTGTCACGGCTACCAGCCAGGGCTACTCATGACCATAGAAAGAGAGAGAGAGAGAGAGAGAGAGAGAGAGAGAGAGAGAGAGAGAGAGAGAGAGAGAGAGAGAGAGTGAGAGAGAGAGAGAGAGAAAGGGTGGGTATGGAGCAGAAATGGAGGTCTTGGGGCAAATTCTAAGTAGCATTGTTTTCTAATTGCCCTGTCTAGATGTTCTAAGACATGCTTTATTCTACATTGACATTGCAATGCTATCAAATATTTTCTCAAAAATTGTTCAGGTTCTTTGCTCTTAACTCTTATAATCTTTGATGGCCCTAGTCACCATAGTTTCTATGGCCCTGCTACCTAAAGGTTACTGAAGAGAGTCGAAATTTCAGGTCATGCGTTTTTGAAAGCAATAAGAAAACCAACTTTAAGGATTAGTTTAATGTTATCTTAGCAACCTTTCTAGCATTCTCTAAAGTTTCTTTGATTCCGATAAGATAAAATGTAGTGAATTATCAATCGAAAACCAGGTAATATAAACCTCTTTAGCAGATAGTTTATGCATATATTGGCCAGTGGAATCGTATGATCATTTGGCAATTACTTCTTTGACGATAAAGAAAGAGTTAACGAAAGAAAGAGTTATCTTGCCACTTACACACACACGAAACGAGATCACAGGGGTGAAAGTAATCAAACATTTCTATAATTATGAAACTTTCCAAATTGTTATAAAATATACCTGATAGGGTAAACTGTGGGATAGGGATAATGATGCTAATAGTGATAAACTTTTGGCATAACTACTACAGGAAAAAACGGAAGATTCTAACTTATATGGCGACAGGTATAAAGCTATGCTAGGTGGGCATATCATTTTCTCAATACTGTCCCTTAAGATTTGGGCTTGGCAGTTATATACTTTCGAAGGGGAGTCAATGCTCAATGAGGTTTCGACAAAAGGCGTCCCTATGAGGATAGCAAAGATGTCATTGTTGTATATAATGGAAAGTATACGCGCAGTATTTCATCTATAAAAAATACTTGTTCATGAATTAACTTCTTAAACAATTTCGCCCTAGGTTTATAAAAATAAGTATAAGTGAGACAATATCGTATAATAAGCCTACAATCCCGGACAAAAATGTTGAGACAAAATGCAATTTTTGTAATCTTCTACTTTAACTTGCCCCTGTAAATTCGAATCCCCCCTTTCCCCCCGAAGCAATGTTGAATTTATAGCTCAATCATTTTTGCTTCAAAATCATGCATTCAACATTGAATTAGGGAAGAGGGGAAGCTATTTTTCAAAGAAAAGAGAAAATAAAGTTTTCTTGAAAATTCTCAACTAATTTTGTCCGTGGTTGTAGGTTGCCTCTCCACATATCCTGTTTGTTAGAAACCATGCGATGGGAACCTTTTTCAAGTTTGGTATTAGAAGTGGAATAACGATTCAGGTATGATCCATTAGGCATGATGGAAAGCGAATACCATTATATAAGCTATTGTATACTATTCCTATATCATTAGTATTATTATTATTATTATTATTATTATTGTTACTCAGTCTCTTCATTTTTTGTTTTAATTAGTACCGCCCCTTCACGTCACAAGGGGTTCTAAATTTCATTATCTATGTGAATTGAAATAGGATTGTAAAGTGTCTAATTTTTGAAAAGAATCGATTCCACCCCCAACTTAAAGATAATCATTCTAGAACAGTTTCTTAAGTTGCGAGTAATCAGTACAATGGTTTTTTTAATTTGATGTCACGTTTTAGAGACCAGCCTCCAACAGACGAATTTTATAAAAAAGACAATAATCTGCCAATTTGTCTAATATAATGTTTTGAATTCCTACTTAAATTCTGCACATGGCCTATGTCCATTGTGTTAAATCGCGTAAAACATACCAAAACTCAAGACCCGAACAAAATCTCCAGGTCATGTCATAACAATTCAGTAACCAAATAACCAAAGTCCACTGCCACCTTCAGGTTTTTATGAAATATCACACCTGATAAAAAGAGTAGATATGAAACCCAAAGGGTAAATGCGAGCCACCGACAAATGAAGTCAATACGTGTGCCCCCCCCCCCCCCCACACTGGTGTGTCTACTAAGCAAGAAGTATACTCTTAACTATATCTTCCAAAGGCTCTGAAGCAAGTTGAAAGTAGGGGAATCAAAGGCAAATAAAAACCCATAACAAAAGATTTTACATGAGAGCTCTGCTGTCATACTAAAGAGTGGGGGCCATGGTCTGCCTGTCCCCCTCCGTCAATTGTCCATGTCCATGCCGAGATGAACAAAATAACCATTCCTTGATTCCAACCTAAGAAATACCTGAATGTATGTATTTTGTTGTTCACGCACCTCAAATATTGCTTTAGCAAAAAATTTTCTCCCTGTGTACTTCAAAAGTGGTTTGTTTCCTTGCTTGTTGGATATATTTGCTTATGAGGCACAGTTAAAATGACACACAGTTCATAATTGAATGTGAACCGCATAGCTTTAGATGGGGTTATCTGTTTACATGGGATCAGGGATAATAATAAGATATATAGAGCTGTCAGAAGCACACAACCAGTAGAAAAAAGCAAATTTCACTCCAATGTTTGGTGTCTTTCACTTAGAAACAGGAAGCAAAATAATCTTGCGGTATGTGGAATACAAAAACGAGCTGCCAATATTTACTTGTGTTGCTCATCTCGAAGGAACTCGAAGGGCTTGGACAAAACGACAAATCAAAACAACATGTAGAATGACTAATTACGTCAAAACCTTTAATATACTGCAACGCGCATTCTTTGCGGTTTATCCATGTCCCATTTTGGTACTCAAATGCATTGAGAAGTCCTTTGTCACACAGAGTGCGGGGGTTGTGAAACCCACGCGCGTGTTTCCCGCAAACAAACTTTCCATAAACTGAAGATTTACAAACAAGTTCCAGAATATTGCACTGCCGTTTTGTTTGTCACACTGGTCACATACACCCTTTAACACAATAAATCTAACAAAAGGGTTTTCTGCTTGTTTGGGTTCTCATGAAATTGATGAATTTCCTTGACTCAAGAAGTTTAAGCCCGAGAAGATTTTTCTTGAAACCTTAGAAACCAAAACGCCAATCGTAAGGAGGGCAAGGGGGCAATTTGCCCCTAAGAAATAAGGGGCCTGCTGGTAATTAGCCCACAAAGGATGTAGCCCAAGATTCAAAGAAGTTTCGTTTTGCAGCAGTAATCTGCCTTATTAACAAATCTGCCAAAGATTTGGAAAATGTACCTTTTTTCTCCTTGAATGTCCATCAATACTTATTCTCCAATTGGCTGGGTTCTGTCCGCTTTTAAAAATCTATCTTCATGCTCAAAAGTCTCTTCCCCTTACAGTGCCTGGAAGGAAAAAAGCAAGTTTGTATATGTAAGGGCAAAGATTCGGACAGCATTTTTCAGGATAATGAAGCTTCAAAATGTGATACATAAAAAATCTGATACTGCCTCTGTTTCTCTTGAGCGACCTATTTTTTAGCAAAGACCCCCTCTTACCTAACCTTTTACACGTTCAAATTGCAGTCAATCAGGCAGATTTCACTTTGAGGTCATTGAGAGATATTTCATGGTAATTCAAACAGAAAAATTTTCAATCTCAATTCATCTGGCAGAGGTTTTGCTTCTTCTTCTTGGAACAGATAGGGCGTTGCGGCGAATGACCCTGAAAGGGCTACGTCCCTAGTCCTCCATTAATCTCGCAAAATCTGTGTACACAACTTGTTGGTACCTTCAGTGGAGATTTCTATCTAGGGTGAATTCGGGGTAGTCAAACAGGGCTCAACTTTGTATTTTGATAAAAACATACTAGACTAAAAACATAAAAAACATAATTAAAATTTTTTATAAAAAAGGTTATTGGTGTTAAGAAAATTTCTTCCTCGAAGAAGCTTTTTAAAGCACAGACTCTTCTTTCAAAATGGAACCAAACCTATGCTACGAAAAAGAGGTACAAAACCAAAGTTTAATTACAGCTATGATTAGATCTTTCCGTTGTTATGATAGAAAAAGATTGCTGATATACTGAAAGCCGCAAATTACCCAATGCAGTGTGGGCTTTTGGACGTCGAAGGCACTAGAGTCATGTCTCCCCCTAACTTTTGGGAAGATGCCCGAAAATGCCCTCTTCATAATGTTGGAGAAAGTTAGACTGTTTCTGAGACACAGTGCCTTTGTCACAATGCTTTGAATCTGATGTCTTCAGGGTTGTTCTAGGAATTTTTTCGGCCCGGCCCCTCTAAGAAGAGAATTTTCCTTTGGGTTCCGTTAGAGAAAAAACATGCCCAAATAGGAAATCAAATTTCACTAAGGCCTTTATAAGGAGGGATGCTATTTCCACGTTGTTAAAATTATCTAGAGGCTTACCTATTAAAGTTTTCCAGGGTCGTTTCGGATTTGAATGACCGCAAATCGCAGATTAAGCCAGCCCAAAGCAATTGTCGCTTTCGCGGATGTTTTGAGATCTTGAGAGGAAGTGACAATGACGCATGCGTCGATGAGTTCATATCAAATGACGAATTCCGAAATAGCGTTGAAATATAAGTACCTCGCAATGTTTATGTACATAGATCATAAGACTAGTGGAGCGACGAAAGGCCACACGAGGGCAGGCCTAAAGAACAAACTGTGAAAGACAACTTGCTTACTTGCAAATCAAGCATAAATTTGACTCAAGTCTTTGCGACTTTCATTTTAAATGATGTATTGGCAATTCAACGACAACAGGCAGAGATTCTCGCCTGGCATTTTACCACAGCAACAAGCTTATTACGACATGCCGATGGTACACGGACGACAAGAAATGACCAATTTCGCACTGACAGATGAGGACACTGGTGAGGTGAAGCGGCCCATGAATTCGTTTCTGCTCTGGGCCAAAGTGATGAGGAAGAAGTACGCAAAAGAAAACCCGACGATGCATAATGCTGAAATTAGTAAATTGTTAGGAAAAGTCTGGAATGGCATGACTACTAACGAGAAACGACCATATGTTGAGAGGGCGGAGAAGCTTAGGGTGATTCACATGAGAGATCACCCAAACTACCGTTACGCGCCAAGGAAGAAGAAGGATAGGAAACAAGCGCAGCGAATGATTTCACCAGAAATCGCCGCAGCTTTCCACAACGCGATTTTTGACCTGAAAAATGTCGCCGCGCCAGATAGACACGAGAAAGACGAGGGGGCCAATAATCAATCATGCGATTATATTATGCTGACTGGGCGTAGGGATGAGCTGCAGAATGCACTGTATGAAAACTCAAAAGGGAGGACTCACTATGGAAATATGGATAAGTTTATGATGAACAGTTCACCAAATTCTGGGTCAACCTTCCATTATTACGCGCCTGAAGACAAGCTGGGATTCAAAGTCGAACCTGTTGCTGAAATTGGAGACGAACGATTGAGACAGCAAGAACTGGAGAGAAAAACGAGACGCGACTCTCAAATTACAGCCATGTCGTACGACAGACAAATGTCTGCGTGTTCAGGACAAAGTCTTCCAAGCTCAGACACCCCGAGAAGCTGGTGTGATGCGTCGAGTATTGCAGACAGCGACGGCTCGACTATACTACCAAGTAGCCCTGAAAGCGTGAGCGAAAGCCTTGACCAGGAAGTTCCACCGTTCCTTCGTGCTCTTCTCGATTTCCCACTGCATGTTGACAGTCGAAGAATAACCAGTATGGATCAAGGTGTACCTGATGATCGTAGCTATATTTTGAACGATTTTGGAGACATTGTTGGCAAGGAAGGTGACGGTACGAACCATAGAAAACCTTGTATGTTTTTGTAAATTAAACACTGAACACGCAAGTTAAAGATAAATTTTAAATAACGAAGGAACAACTATTGTTGATTGCTTGTAAATATTGCGATTAAAAACCCTCTAAGGTGTCACAGATTTTACGTACAACTAACTTTAAATGACGCCCGGCCCCCTAACCCATATTATAAATCCATGTATATTACTTCAAACAGCTTTTATTTTGACATTTGATACATAATTATGTTCTATCTAATAAGAGGAAGGATACTTTGGAAAGATAACAAAACCACAGGAAAAACCTCCTGTTCACAATGAGTTGTTTGCTACAAATTCAAGGTCGAGTTGTCATTTCCGGGGGCTTGGTAGTTTGACGTCAGAAGCCTGGCACTGATTTCCAAAAACACTATCAGTAGCATTAGATTTGTAAATATTTTTATTTTATTATTTGACGATTTTCAACTGGATTGAAAAGAAGAAGAAATAGATGTAAGTTTTTGTTCGTAGATTGTGACGCTCATTTTGACTTGGCAGTCTAGATATTTCAGATAATATTATATCACGTGCGAATATGTTTACTAATTCGAGCTTTGGTAAACGTCACTATTGATGACACACCACCTTAAAAGAATTGATCTCCCAAAAGCAGGCAAAATTAGGGCTGGAAAACACAATTAAGCAAATGTGTGCGCGCTCATCAGGAGAGATTCCATGTTAATTAAGAACCAAAATACTAATAACTAGGTTCAAAATGGTCAATTATTTAGCAACGTCCTCATAATTATGGTTATGGTGATCTTACCAAGACTGTTAATTCCATTTTACTTTTGAAAGGACAATTTTGGAATATTCTCACTTGTAGCAGTAACTATATGGCATTAAACTCACCGCCGCATTAATCATTTTTTGTCTAATCCTTCATGATCAATCACTTTTCTCATATTCGTAGAGAAAGAGTCGTTAAGTCTTATTATAGAGTATATATGCCCGCTATATAGTCTAATTATAGCTCCTAAACTGCTAAGATGTCATGCACGAAACAGGAAGAGCTTACAAGCGCATGTATAGCTTTTTGAGACCACACCCCACTCGTAAGCATAACCGATTTCGTTGATTGGTAAAGGTAATTATTGAGTAGAATCAGCCAGCTTGCCAGGTCATTTTGAAAGATTTTTTTACTAAATAAACTGAAGAACGCATTCATTTAAAACGCCATTTTCTGCAATACATATACAGAGATGTGTTTTTATATTTACTGTTCTCTACAACATATTCTGTTTGAGAATACATTCTTGAAGTCTCAAAAAAGTCGGTGGCCGGGGTATGAGCCTTCTTGTAAATGCCAAAAGTGACCCTTTTCTACTTTTTGCTATTGGTTTTCGAGAAATGTTTTATGAGGGGAACTCCTTGCTCTTTTTTTAGAAACATATCCCAGGGCTCAAAACATGTTGAGTCGTATTTCCCGAAAACTTATTTTCTAGTTACATGATCCAGCATGAGTGGGGTCTTTCTGCGGCAATTCCGCGTGAGGTCTCGAGGTCAGAACACAGTCTTACGTAACTTTCATGCATTGGAAGATCTGATTTCCAGACAGATCCGCACTCCACCAAAACAGGGAGACGTTTAAGCAAACATTATTTCTATACTGCACGCATTTTCAGGAGAAACAAAAGTTGAGAATAATTTATCCAAATATTTTGCTTGAATAGCCTCTTCTCTTCTCTTCCTTGAGCAGCCAGCACCAAAATATGTTATTTTCATGATAAATTGCAAATTCGTGTCAAGCAAAGCAAAAAGTATGGAAATGAAGTACATTATAACTCAAACCAACTTTGTCCACATTTGTAGATGGACCATGGGGCAAACAACAGCACTCTCTGTAGTTTATAATGACAAAATCTTCATGCAAACGAACAAATCAATAAAACTTAAAACAAGTGTGATTTGCAATTTATTACATAAACTAAAAAGAATTTGGGCCATATTTTTTATGAAGATGAATATTAAAATAAGAGGCAACAGTGTCACAAATATGTTTTGTGCCAACAACCTGACATCTACCTCTGTCATGGACTCTGACGCAGGTTGGAAAGTGGGGGGGGGGGGCAAGGGAGATATTAACAATCGAAACAAAAGAATTCTTACAAAGCTCTATTGTTTTGCAAAAAAGTGAGAGGGCCCTGGCCGCCCCTCCCCTTCGTCGGAGGCCCTGTCTGTACCAAGTGTTTCTAGGGAAAAGCATACTTCTTGATCCCTATATTCATCAACAAACGAAAGTCGATACGTTGAGTAAATCAAAACGTGGATCCATTCGATAATGCTTTGATTGCGAAAAGCAGCATCTTGGTAAGCTGTAGAAAGATTATTGGCTTTGAAAAGTACAAGTATGAATGACCGTTTATAGGTTCTGTAGCTAAAATTGGAGTTTGAGGGCAAAGGAAGGAGGGAGTTACCCCGGGAGAAATAGTGATAACGCAGCATTGAGCACTTACGTAGCAGCATTTGTGGGCCCAGGCTCAGCATTGAGTGGCTGTTAATGTGCCTGAAACCGGGAATGGCATTATGAAGGCTTGGTAGATTATCAGCAAAGATACTTAAATTCAGCTAACACATAACCTGATGTCGATGAGAATTGAGAAGACAATTTCATGTGATCGTACTTTTGGGCAATTTAATATTTTCGTATTTAATATCATGTTATTCCAGAGATTGACAAAAGAAAGCTAAACGCAATGCAGTTATGGGCATGTCGAGAACATGGATGTATTAACAGTTAAGTTGCTTGACCAAGTGTTGAAAGCATGAACAAAGAATCAGGGCTATGTTGTACTGAAACCGAAAAATTTCCTTTTATCGGAAACTGCTTTGCTGAGTATCTTAGGGCTACGATGGGGCTACGGTATAGTAATTAACTGCCTTTGGTTTGGATTTTACAATTATGAAGCCATAATTCGCTTTATCTGATGCGATTAACGCTCAAAACACTTGCAAAGTCGGCCGCAAAGGAAACTTAATATAAAGCTTACAAAAAGAGAGAGAAGCATTCACTCTAGTGTAGCTCGGCCGCTATGAAAAGAGATCTGAGGAATAGCGTTTCGAAATGACGTCATTTGGAAATCACAAATGAATTGCACGCTAGCTAATGCAAAATGGTTGACTCGATATAAACCACCACATCTTCTCAAAAGTCTGTTGACTCTTGTCAATAAAACATTTGGAAGATATGGAGAAGGGGGCGTTGTATACCCTTCTGATTTTACAACTACTACATAAAATATTGTTGGCTTGAATTTGTGTTTCGATATCCTTGCTTGTGAAAAAAGTTTTTAGGCCACTGTTCAAAATAGACTTTATTTCTAGGTGCTTCCTATTAGGGGTGTTCTGGAGGGGGGGGGGTGGCGGTTGTTGGCTCAGAACGCCCTACGGCCTATAGTCATAAATGTATGAGTAGTGGGTTAATATGAATAAAGATAATGTGGAGGCGGCATTCAATGCCTTCGCTAGACACAACTGGAAAGATCGACCTACATGTTTACAGCAGTTTCCAAGTTTAGTTGCATCTGAATCATAAATTATTCTTTGCGAATCCATTTGTAAGTTTCCAAATAAAGGGGGGGGGGGGATTGCTGACAACATTATGGCTGACAAATAAAAACAACTTCACGAGCAAAAAACATGGCACGCCATGCTGTTGTGAATTCTGGGAAGGTTTTCGAGGTTATTTGGTTACTTGGCCAGAAAAAGGATACGCATTTCTATTGACTATGCTTTTGAAATTACAAAGTTGTCACATTTTTCAGTTTTATCGTTTGCTCATTATAAAAAACAAGCAAAATATAAGATTTTATTTCTATCGCTAAAGGAAACTTTTAAACATGTCTCTGGTACGGTCTATATAGGAAGAAGGAAGAGCTGAAAATATGACACGCTAGGTAGGAATTGACTTTTCACAGCCTTGGACCTACCTTGAAATATTGACACTGGACTAATTCCTCTAAAAACCTTCACAATGAAGGTGAATTTAAGAAGAAATAACCAAGAAGCGATAACTCTATCCAAGAAAACGGATACCTTGGAAAACATGAGACGATAAGGCTTTTCACCGCAAAAAGCTTCTTTTACTTTTCTGTAAAGCCAAGGTTACGACATTCCGTAACCAAGTTTCGCACACCAAAGTTACAAAATACCCCGGATTAACACCCTGAGCTACTTTTAATTACAGAAGCTTGGTTATGATAAAAAGAATCAAGTGAGTTACTGTCTATTCTCTACGCCAAATCAGCTACACCATGCGATCCAAAATCGATATAGCTTTGTCAGACAGCAGGCACAAACTATTTCATATCCGACACAATCTGCTAGGAACGAACAATGACATCGAGACAACAACATTTTCTAACGGTCTGGATCTTTTGTAAAGGAGTGGTGTTAATAACAGATGAAATATCAGTTCCTTAGGAACGAATTCATATCCAGAAGGGGATGGTAGATAAACCAGGGTTGGCTTGTAATTCAATACCCTAGAATTTAAGTACAAGAGCAAATTTTGGCAGTTACAGATGGAAAACAGCACCCTACCAAGTACTAATACCCTAATGAGTATACGTTCGAAACGTGGCAAAGTCCAGAAAACTGTATGATTATTTAGAAAGGTAGGTAGAATTGGTAGAAAAACAAATTTAAGAATAAAATGATTCATAAGCAGAGTTTGCCGGAAAATCATTTCTTCTAAGCGAGGAAGAATAAGCACCTACAAAAAAGCTCTCATCTTCATTTTTGGGTACGTGTTTAGACTCTGTAGATGTAATCCATGAACAAACCACAGAAGAGAAAAGGCTCTTCGTTTTTACCTAACCTCGAAAACGATCCATTTTGCTAGTATTCAAACAATGCCACGCCTTTTTACATGCAAAAATACCCCCGCTGAATGACTTTGTTAAAAGAAAACAAATTCTAGAACAGTATAACATCCTCCAAGCTTGTATTTGAAAAGGTCCTGAAAGCACGGAACTGTTATGAGCTCAATATAGACTTTTGAATAACTTTGGGAAGCTAATTTTTAAATACTAACGATCCAATATGTATAGGTAAAGCTACACAATACTTGCATAATCACCAAGAAAGAATAGATATTAAAAGAGAGAGAAATTGGTTGATATCGAAAGTACAAAGTTACAACTTCTGCCTTGTTTATGTTTAGATCTATGGTGTTCGAAATTGATGATTTTTTTTGACACGTCGTGCAACTTTTTTGACAGTTGTTACTTGCCTTCAATTACCATTGCTGACTTTCTCTTCGCCGTTTCTTCGGAACGCAAAGTTTATAAATATCATAATAGATCCTTAAAACATACAGAGGGAAGTTCCCTTTAGGGCTCTTGCGCAACCGGCATGCTTTGCGACTATTATTCAAAAACTGGCCTAACATCACACAGCATGAAAATTAAAAACACAGTAAAATTCTCAAGACAGCTACCGCTAAGCATGCCGGTGCGCAAGAGCCTTTAAAACTTTAAGAGAACAGAACATTTTTTCATATTCTTACTAAGTGGGATGCGAGAGGCAATCACTTTTATATCTTTTCTATACCAGCACAAAGGTTCCCCAACTGAAGTACCACGAGAAAGCACCACACTAACACAAAATTTATCGATCAGGCAGTAGGATGGGTTGAGTCATACTGGTAAGAACAAGGAACCAATGAATGGAGAGTTTCAGAAAAAGTGCCCAGAATTCCACGCATTTTCTTCCCAAATAACATACATGATTGAGATTTAAAGTATTAAGTCACCTCATAAACGCCGGACGCTTACGAAAAAAACTGGCGAAAGTAAAAGGTGCCGAATACTTTATTTTGGGTGGGCTGACTAAGAGATTTCCGAGACATTGTGATGACAGGCTACGGCTTGCGTTGCGGAAGATGTGGTCGGTATACGGAGGCAGAAGCTGGCGTAAACAAGCCGAAAACCCACAGTGCACCTAAAACGCCCGAAAACATCAATGAGCACAGGGATAACATGTGTATATTTTCTTTGTTATTGCTAGGATACAAAGGCGCATAGAAAAAAGTTACTGAAAGCAGTTTGCACCCAACAGATAACAAAAAAATAATGCTAATGGAAATTAAATAATTTAATCATAATACCAATTCGAAATATTCAAAACTCCAATTGCAATATTTCAGGGAAGGCCAACACTTGATGATTCGAACAGTTTTTCTTTGATTGATTGAGTATTATATTGATTGAG